GCCTTAGACAAAATTTTACCTCACACAGGAAAAAAAGGGACTTAATGGTAGTACGTACCTCAGAGAATCACTGCACAAGTTAAAAGCAGAATTTCAACCAAGACAATCCAGCTCCCGAAGCCTTGCTTTTCAGCACTACACTGTGCTTTTCCCTAGTAGATGTGACCATGCCACACCCTTCTCAATAATTAGGCGATCACCAACTCCGGGACAGGGGCGTGCGGGCCTGTCTCAGTCCTCTCTGAGTTCCCGTCAGGGCCTAGTGTGGCTCTCAGTGCAGGGAGCAAGCAACAAGGCTTCCAGGCCTGGCTAGAGCCACACTGGCTGTGTGACATTGGACGAATCACCTGACTTCTCTGAATGGGACTATACCTCCCTGCCCAACGGGTCGTGAGGACTGGATGACATCACATATCTGAAAGCCGGGAGTGTTAGGAAGGTGGGAACCCCTGCCCCTAGCCACCCTCTCGCCCCAGTTACCGTCTGAAGGGGCCCGTGTCCGTGGGGAGACTGAAGGTGCAAGAGCCCCAGAGCACCAGCAGGAGGCCCCAACGAGGGATTCTGCTCCATCCGTCCATGCTGCCCTGGTCCCCTGGTCTCTCTGGGATCTCCTAAAGCCTTGTGGTTCCCAGAACTCTTCTCCTTTTATCCTCTCCACACTTGAGGTGGTGGCAGCTCTTCTCTGCCCTGATTTATTACCCTGGGGCAAATGGCAGGGCAGCCAGTACTACTTCCCTGCCCATGGGACTGAGCTAGGTGACTGAGGGGTCACCAGGTTTCCAGCAGGAGCTTAGGAGCTAGAGGAAGTGGGGCTGTGGGAACGCAATGCTCTACCAGTGACGCGAGCAGCCCCCTCTCAGTCTGGCCCTATGACCCCCAGAAGGGACAGAGGCTGGTGAGAAACAGCGCTGCTCAGGAGCAAGGTCAGGGCTGGGAGAGGCATAGAACCTGATTCCCATCCCCCACCAAGGCTCCACCCCCATGAAGCTCCATCCTTTCTATTAGTCGTGGCTGTGCCCCAGACTGGCTCCTGCCAGGCTGCACCCCAGTGTTCCCATGTGGAACATGGGTGACTCGCCCTGGCCTGTTCCCTTACAGAGCCAGACCCAGGGCCTCTCAGCTGCCATCTTCCAGGCCCTTGTCAGCAGTGGCTATTTACGGGAAAGTATACCTCGCATAGCCCCCAGAAAGCTGGGAGCTGGGGGGAAGGGCCTGTGTCAATCCCCAACCACTTAGTGTTGGTGGCAGCCCTCAGGGGCTCAGGGAGGCTTGTGCAGAAGAGCAAGGTGGGGCAGCTGCTCCTCCAACTTCTGATTGTCTTTCCGCCTGGCCCTCCCTGCTGGGCATCGTCTCTGCCTCCTTCCCCTTTCCTTGTAGTTTACAAGCTGTCTGGGACAGTCCCAAACCTGGCCCCTGAGTCCCAGGATGGGCACTGTTTATTCAGCCTAGGATACCCTCTCCCAACCTCCTCCTGCGAATTCTTCAGGGCCCACTTCAGTTATCACCACTTCCTCTGTGAAGCAGGCCCTGATTTAGCCCAGAACTGACTGCTTTGTGATATGGGCTCCCACAGTGTGGTACAAGCCCTCTTACAAGAGCACGGGCCTCGACTGTCCTGTATCAGTTTTTTCTGTATGTATGCACCCTCCTCTTACCCAGAGTGGTGCTTAATCCTTACCAAATGGATGAATTGGTGAACTGCAATGGGCAGTGTGGAGAGCCCTGGACTGGTCATCAGGGACCTGGGTTCTAGTTCTGACTCTACCACACAAATTTGCTGTGTGACGTTGGGCCCCTGCCCTCCCCTCCCCTCTCTGGGCCTCAGTTCCTAAATCTGTACAATGAGACAGATGCTTGGTGGCCCCCAGGGTGCCTTCCTGCTCAGACACTAGTATTTGTTCTGTGCTTTCTGGGTACACAGTGCTCTCTGCACCAACTGTGGGCAGTAAAGACTTAGAGGAGCTCATCTTTGTTGCTAATGTGCCTGCTGATGAATGTTTGGGCCTCAAAAACTCATACCCTCATCAAACGATGGGAGAATTTGGTGTTTTTTGGCATAAACTCTAACTGGAGACTTTTCAGGCACAGTTGTTGGCAGTGGGGGAAGTATTTGAGGGCAGGTGGAGAGTTAAAAATTTTTTTAAATTTATTGATTTTTTAGGGAGAGAGCAAGAGAGAGACAGATTTGTTGTTCAACCCATTTGTGCATTCATTGGTTGATTGTTGCATGTGCCCTGACCAGGGATTGAACATGCAACATTGGCTTATGGGGACGACTCTCTAACCAACTGAGCGACCCAACCTGGACAGGGGGAGACTTTTTAGAACCTCTTAAGTGGGAAATCTATCCTGTCAGATAGACTGTTTATTAAACATTTCTGTAGGCTTCTGAGTTCTTTCATTTCTTAGAAAATATTCACTGAGCATTTATGATTTGTCAAACACTTTTCAAGATGCTGGAGTTACCAAGGTGACAAAAATAAACACAGTTTCTGCTCTTGTGGAGATAGAGTGTTCTCATCACAGCATAAATGTGAAATACTAATGATGACCAGTACCAGCCAGGGAACTCCAGGAAGCTTCCCCCAAGGGAATCACACTTGAGTTGTAATCTGAAGGCTGCACAGGTAGGCACTGAATAGCTGAAGAGGGAGAAAAAAGAGTTCCAATGGGAATAGCATGTGCAAAGGCCCTGAGGAGAGAGGAAACATGGTGAGAATGAGGGTCTTGAGAAAAGCCAATGTGGCTAAACAGAGAGGAGCAGGAGTGGGGAGAGAGATGGGACTGGGGAGGCAGCATGTAAGAAGATCTAACATTTACTGCTTGATAGTAATATATGCAAGGCACCATTCTAAGTGCTTAATGCATTTAATTCTTACACCACCCAGCTGAGGTAGCACCATTATTACTTCCATTTTATAGGTGAGGAAACAAACATAGGAGGATTCAGAAAGTAGCTTGCCTAAGCTTACACTGACCATAAGGGATGAAGTGGGGCTATACATTTAGGCAGCATGACCAGAACTCATTCCGCAGCCGACCATAAGAGTTCTTAAACTCCAAGCTATGTCTACCTAAGAGCAGTGGATAAAAAGCATCAGGAGACGATGATGATGTCATTAAATATGTTTGCAAAAACACTCTGGCTACAGTGTGGCCCAGCAAGGACTTGGGAACTTCCCAGAATCATGTGTCATATGCCAGTTAGGAAGCCAGCGCACTAGAGCTAGCTTGGACCAGGGAGATGGGCGTGGTGGAGACAGAGAAGACTGGATGGGATTGAGAGAAATTTAGGAAATAAAAGCTGCAGGGTTGGGTGATGGGTTGGAGAGGGGAATGAGGGAGATGGAGGTTTCTGAATGCTTGGAGCAACGTGGATTCCTGAAGGGAAGAAGGCCAAGGAAACCATGAGTTTGAGGGCCTGTTAATGGGGGGTTCCTTTGAGATATCCCAGGTATGCTGTTAAATGGCAGGTGAAAGATTGTGTGTTCTTTGCAGTTGGCAATTGATGCCACAGGTAGGACAGCAAGTAGCCAGGGAAGAGGACAGAGCACCAGAAGGCCCCGGACTCTAAGCTTTAATGGACCAGCAGTGGAGGGAGAATCTGCCAGGAACACCAAGGAGGAGAGGCCAATGGGAGGAAGCCATAGGAGTCGCTGAGAGAGGGAGGAGAGTGGCGGGGAGGGATGGTGAGCAGTGGCGGTGCTGCCACCAGGGCAGATGAGAGACGTGGCCTGGGGTGCTGTTGCTGGGGCTGTTTTGGTGACATAGGTGGACGGAACCTAGAGAGGGATGCGAACCAGGGAGATGAAGGCAGCGGGTGCAGCGCTGCGGCTACTCTGAGAAGCTGGGCTGCAATGAGGGGGGAAGAGGGCGGCAGCTGCAGGGGAGTGGGGCCAAGTGTGAGCTCTGCTCTCTCTCCTCTCTTCCTCCTCCCCTCCTTTTTCTCCCTTCCTCTTCTCTTCTCTTCTCTTCTCTTCTCTTCTCTTCTCTTCTCTTCTCTTCTCTTCTCTTCCCCCTCTTTCTCTCCCCCTTTCAAATAATGGGTGACAGTTGACTCTATTTAAAGGCATAGAAAGGTCTCTATTGAGAGGAAGGGATGATCATTGAGAAAGAGATGATCATTGAGGAAGGGATGATCATTGAGGAAGGGATGATCATTGAGGAAGGGATGATCAATGAGGAAGGGATGACCATTGAGGAAGGGATGATCATTGAGGAAGGGATGATCAATGCAGGGGGACNTGATGATCAATGAGGAAGGGATGATCAATGAGGAAGGGATGATCATTGAGGAAGGGATGATCATTGAGGAAGGGATGATCAATGCAGGGGGACTCCCAAGGCGGCAGGAGCACATGGGTGGAGGGTGGAATATGCTGGGACAGGAGCGTGGAAAGCGGGAAGGTGGGCTTGTGCGGTGTTGGCACATTATCTACTTGATTGGAAGGGAAGGGACTTTCTGTCTGGTGACTGTTGTCTGGAAGCAAGGACCTCTGCTGAGAGTAGGGAATGGGGGTGGTGGGGGTGGAGACATGGGGAAAATGGTGAAGGTTTGAAATAGGTATGGAATGTGGAAGGTGGAGAGAAGCTGACCAGGGACACTAAGGGGATTTAGGGGAAGGGATTAAGGTGTTTAATGGCTGGAGATCATGACTTTATGGGAAGTCAGTTCGCCCTGTTCTCTGCCTCTCCTACCACCGCCATCATGCTTGGCTGCTTGGGGACAGACACGGGGGAATTGTGTGGCTGGTGTCATACAGGGCTGGGGTGATGCCAGATGTGGTGATCAAAGATGAGGGACAAAGGGACCTAGGGTCCTAGCACAAATGTTATTGAATGATAGACTGTGGACAGAAGGTGAATATGGGGGAGAAGTTAGGCCCGGACAGGATGGATGAGCTGGAAGGAAGCAGAGGGCCCCAGATGGGTGAGAAGAAAGAGCGGTGGTGGTGGGAATAGTGGAAGCATCAAGCTGGAGGCAGGGAGCTGGTCAAGATTTGGACACTTGAGATGGTCCTTGGAGGTGGAGCAGTTACAAATGATGACAAATCTGGAGCAGGATGTAGGGGTGGGTGGCTGAAGTGGAGAGGGTGAGCCACTGGAAGGAGGACACTCAAGAACTGAGGAGCCAGAGTGCTGGCTGGTCACTGTCTGGATGGATGGTGATATCATCCAGGAGGACTGCAGAGGGCCCAGGTGGAGGAAGGCTGTGAGCTACATGGCCTTTGATAAATGATGGGGCAGGACCTGCAAGTCCAGCAATGACAGCAGCAAGTGAGCGAGGGGAGACGATCCCAGGCAAAAAGCAAGGTGTGGACAGAGGAGAGTCTCCTCCCAATGTCCACGTCAGCCCTGGGAGGTGAGTGGACCAGCATCCTTGGAACACAGGAGGAAGTCAAGACCTAGGGAGTAAATAGTACACTGAATGTCCTAATTTACAGCTGCTAAGTGGCAGAGTGGACACTTACATCTCCCATGTCAGATCCTGTGTTACGTGGGGGTCCAGCTGCCGAGGTGATAGATGTCCTGCCCTGGAATCTCACCTGTCTCCACCTCGAGGCCCTCTGCTAATGGAGAGTGTGTAGGGATCTCAGGAAAGTGGCTGAAGAGTAATGTGGTCTCTGACCACCCATGCTTCGTCTCCCTCCCCTCTCCCCAAACCCTAGAGCAGAAGTTGCAAGGAGCAGGGACAGAGTGGGTGGGGAGATGGAGCTAGCCTGGAAGTAACACTAGGACTTTATTGAGCTCCTACAATGTGCTGTGAAGTACAGCAGCCCTACGAAGTGAGTATCTCATCCTTACTGTGCAGACAGGAAGCTGAGGCTTCAGAAAGCTGAGGGCAGGGCAAGCTGAGCACTCTACCTTGTGACTCCTGGCCCCTCTCTGTGGCTGTGGATGTCAGAGATGACCAGCAGAGCCAATGGA